CATGAGTCAGTATCTGGAGCTGGCATCGCTTTCGATGGAACACCGCCTTGACAAAATCTTGACGCACATTGTTCCACCTCTTACCATTAGTAGAGCTAAAGCATTGGCAGGGAAGTTTTAGTTGCTTGGGTTGGTCTAATAGACAGTAGCTACGTTATTTCAAAAAATAAACTAAAAATCACTTCTATTTTGTCTACCTTTCATTTCAGCTCTGACTGTTAGAATTTTATGCTTTTTTGCAGACGTGAATTTCCGAGGGGTTAGGTCTAGTCCGCTCCCGAGAATGCCTTCTTCAACGTCTCTCAGCACATCGTGCTCGGAAATAGCACATGGTACGAACTTGAGCTCAAATTGCTAACGCAAGGCGCAGATATTTCTCACGTAGGCATTCGAATCAATTCTTGCAGAGCATATCAGCCTTCGTTATTACGGTAACGTTGTGAGAAAACAAGATTGACATCAACCGATCCAGGTTGTGATGGTTATCACAGCGAAAGCGTTAATTTCAAAACATCTTCTGTTTATCTTGACCATCTCAAGGAGTCTTCACCAAACCTGCCATCGTCGGTCATTGATCAAACTGAAAAAAAGAAACTTGTAATGCAAACAACTGGAGCAGGTCACTGGAATGCTGGCTACAATTCCACATCTACCGGTTGTAGGTGTCGTCCTCTGGTTTTAACAGACGTTAATTATCGTGTCGGCACACCCTTCGGCAGGGAAATAACGTGACAAGCAGACAAACAAAGGTTCCAGGAGAGATACAAAAATATTATATATACTAAATGGACAAGCACAGCACTGGGCAGCCCCTACTCAAACTTAAAAATTAAATAAAAAAAAGACCGCTTAGCCGGTAGGGTCAAGACAGCGGATAAGGGCGATTGGGGAAGATATTTTTCCTAATGGGGGCACGTACACATAACCTGTTCCCCGCCCCTTCCCCCGCGCTGCCAGCTCCCACCGCTCCTTCATCTCCCGAACACTTCCAACCCTCTAGCCCTTGGTATATTAGCAAAACAGTCTTGCAGTAAAGTAAACTTACGAAACTTCCATTTTGATATTCGGATCTTTGAATGTGTGTTTAATCACTTCTACAACGATACAAGAATAAATGCGAAATTCCGATTCAAGGAATAGAAAGTTCACATCACTGGGAATAATAATAAGTAAAAAAAAAAAAAAATTAAAACTGTCCTCTTTGAATAAAGCGGGTGAAAAATATAGAAAATGTATTTTCACAAAATTTAAGAAGTAATATAGGTTATTTTGGGAAAATAAATAAAAGTAGTACCAGTCAATAGCACATGTAAAGACTGTAGGCGTGCAGTATTTATTAATGAACATTTATAAAGAATCATGAAATGCAATGCTCTAAATATTTCACCAAAACGTCGAAGGTGCCACGTTCGGCATCTTTGGTTCATGTCATAAAATAAACAAATATCTAGTTATAACAACCAAAAGAACTGGGCGCATTAATCAAGCAGCCGAAATGTTGCAATTTTGGGGAAAAATGTAAATACATTTAGAGAGCGTCATTGTTCATTATGAAAGTGTGGCTACACTACTTCGTTTCGCATTGAGTCCAGCCGCAGCGGTCCCTGCGATCTGATAGGCCGAATAAGGCAGCGTGGAGATCGCACTATCATGGTGTTCGCCATGTTTCTTCACGTTGCCTATTATCGCTGAACCAATCATAAACAAAAATGAAGCACAGACACTTAAGACTGCTTACGTGTAGGAATGCAAGAGTATTCCTACATGCAGCGCATTCCTACAAGCAGCGCGCCACGTCTTCCTATCACACACGGTGCTCCGGCGGTGGCATCACGCTCCCCTACTACGTAGGCGTGGCGATACTCACCGACTTCATGACGGTTTTCATGACGAAGAATTGCGTTGTTATGCTTTTCGTTGTGTGTTAGTTCTGCAGCGCGTCCGCTTTGACCTTGAGCGCAACCGCCGGTTTTTGTGACAAGGCATATGCGTTGCTGTTCTTTTCTTCGTGTTTCTTTGGGAATGGGGATTTAGGTGCCATTTTTTCTGCTACAGGCGGCTACAGACAACGCCAACGCCGGCTTCGCTCCATGGGACAGCTAAGGCTTCCGCATTAAAAATACCTAGTGACTTCCGGTTTTCACGCCGCATAATTGGCCCCATTAGCTCGCACCGTTAGCTTCGTCTAGACAAAAGGTTAAACGAAGTGTGGCATCTTGTGATTGCCTCAGCTTATCGCCTCAATGACCCTCTACGTTCTTCTTCATTACGCCCCAAAAGACAAGAAGGAGACTGAGGTGCGACAGTATTGAGTCGACTGTGCAGCGCGGGCCGTCTATTTCGGTCGATAACCTAGGTGTCGTACACACGATCGTGGTGAGGGAACACACAAACTCGGCTCTTAGAGTCGGATCCACATTAAGTCTTGCCTTAGCCGAGGCTAGGAACTGATGGAGACAATCGAACAGGGCCAAAACTACATCGTCACGGCCCCCGTCGCCTTTGTGCACTCGCTGTCAACTGCGAAACCCTGGAGGTAGGAAGCTTCTGGAGGTGACATGACGCCGCCAAAAACGAAGCCAGAAGTTTGCGTGGAAACGCCCCCCCACAATGACCACATCTGTTTTGGTCACCCTCGGGTGCCACCCGAGGGTGACGGAAACCGAGAAAAAAGAAGTATAGTGTCCCTTACAAGTAAAGAAAAAGATAAACAAATAGTCACTAGGAAATTGTGATTTTCAGACGCGTCGTATTGTGGCACAGACGGGGCGGGAAAGAACATGTCGGAAAGGGGCTTTTGCAAGGTACATCAATATTGCTAATGTCTGGTATATTTAAACACACACGCACACACACACACACACACACACACAGTGTAAATGCACATTGAACATAAAAGCTGTCGAAAAATATATAGCAGAACGTTCTGGGTAACACGGAGAATGGTAATAATACCGTTAGGAAGATGAAGGCGACGACGGGGCAGTGGCGCGAACAACCATCTCGTGCCAGACCCCACGGGTCGGCTCAGCACCTATGAATCATTCTATCTACTGTCAGTCATCATTTGTGCTATCTTCTATGCTGCCGACCGCATCATCCTAGCATTAATAATACAATACGTATTGGTGACTCAAGTACCAAACAAACATAAGGCACTTGGTATGCGTCAGGAAAGGATAAGTTAATTTATATTACCCGGAATCCTATTTACCCACACCGGGAACTTCAATTACAGGGTACCTAACCCACAATAGGATTTCGTCAAATACATCATTCCCTAACCATTCAACTCCTCCCATCGTCTCTTCAACGCGATTCGGTAATACCATTTTCAGGGCGTGAAGGCGTACCGACAAAATAAGAGCAGCGGTTCATGTTTGTTTAGCATTTCGGAATTTCAGAGCATCAAAGTAGAACGATAACAAACCAGGGTACCTATCGGCTTCAGGATGTGATCCACTTCGTTTTCTTTGTGTTCAAAAGTCGCGCTGGTAAGGGAAAAGAAATTGAGTCCCCTCCAGAATATTCAGAGGGTACGAGCCGGCTCGAACGTACATCGTAAAGGTCCGAGAATTTTTTGGGCTGCGCGCAGAAATGAGGGCTTGACGAGTGACCCTGTGCGATTTTCCGGTAAGGTCTATCGCGAGCACTTCGACCAAATATCTAACCCGCCAAACTAACTTTGCCCCTCATTTTATCAGGCTTGCGTATTGTAGGAATGAATAATATTTTTAATATCAACTTACCTGTCCATTGGCGTTCGATAGATACATCTAACATGTTATTTGTGTCATCGCAATAAGTGTATTGCAGATTCGGACGGCCTAAGACCTATATCTACAGAAAAGAACTCTGATGGACGATGATTACAAGATATAATAGGTGCGAGTTGGGAAAGAGAGAAACTTAGTATATTGAATAATAATCATTTGTTAAATGGACTTGCAGAATCTTTACATGCTCTATTCACGGTCGCTTGTTTGGATAGTTGGTAAAAGGTCGCTATTAATCCTATTGGCGAGAAGATCCGACCACCTCGCCCTTAGAGGCTAAACTGATGATTAAACCCATGAAGACTGATCTGTATTTCTAACGTAGCGCTCGGTTGACGTGTCCATAGTCTGTAAGTGTTTTCTGCTCGTGCTCGTGTTCAACTAGTAAATTAGCGACTGAACACTAGTCCCATTCAAAAGCTGACGCAACTCTCATGTACATTCTTTACTCCGCGCCGATTTGAGAAAGATGACGTAAAAATACTGTGCACAGGTAGGGTTTGGTAAGCACCAAGCTTAGTAGAAAGCAAGTTGGACAAAACGCGCCCCTCTTGTTTGACCTCCTCACCAATATTACTTACACAATCTCCTCTGCTGTATCGTCAGAAAGTCCAGCATCAGTTGTTTCTTGCATTATTTTCAGTAGATTATTTATTGCTATTGAATACGATTCGTCAGAGCCTAAACCATCGTGATTTCCTCGTGGCTTAAATATTTCTCAAATGCATATCTAACTAGCACACCTAAATGCTTTAGTAAAGTTTACATAAATTCCACTTATCTAAGTAACCGCGCTTGGATATATAACGCGTGTCTAAGCAACGACACTTATATATATAGAACATTCCTACGCCTATCAAGCAAAATGTAATATCGCTAACCGTAAATTAAACTTAAAATAACTCAATTGCGCGTTAAAACCCATAACGACATGTAAGTAGTTTTTAACGGCACTAATACGTTTTATTTATTCTAAAGTGTGTACATTGAGTAACCCTAAAAGGATATCTCTCAACGTAGAGAAGTACTCAGTTCCCTATGCGATATTTCCAAAGGTATGGGGCCACTTTTGAAGCGTAATATCTTCGCTATGGAGGAGAGGAAAAATTTGGAAGTCGCGCAAAGCTACGTAATAATAAAATCGAGAGAAATATATAAAAACTTAACATAAGTAGCGAAAAATGCGCTCCAACAAAATATTTCATATTTGTCTTCTATGTACAGGGTAAACTTCTTGATGAAATTAGACCCAGTTTTCTTGGACCTATTCTCCTGCCCGAAATATGCCCACAAGTTGGAGGCCCCAGGAGACGACTGCGTGATCATTCCGGAAAAACCGAAGGTAAGCAATTAACGTTGAGTTTCAATTTTAACGACTATAACCTAACCTACTCTTTTTTGCAGAAGAAACGCAAGCCCAAGAAAGACACGTCTGTCAAGTTAGCCGCTATTGGAGCCGTTGTTCAACAACTTCTAGAAAACAACCTAACCGCTTTGCTGGATTCGGATATTGAAGTTCTTGATATTATAAAAGTATGATAATGTGTGACAAATCACACACGAGAAGACCAAAAAAACAATACTTGTGACAAACTCCAACTGACGCTCCTTAAGCTCCTAGCGATGGTATCGGAAGGATGGTTTTTGGATTGTCATAACGGGAAAAAACAGGTGCAAGCCTCGCCACTGGACCGTAACTGGTGTCGAATTTTTTTTATATTACGTGTAGCCGAATAACGTATTCTTGCGGTGTTGTTTGGGAAAGTGTGTTGACGAGAGGTTTTTATCTTAGTATTCGAAAATAAAATGTAACAACGCGGCTATTTTTAAGTGTTTTTTTATTAATAAAGCGATTAGCCGCGCTCTACTATTGCTGTTCAGCCACCATTTAATTAAAGCATAACTTTTTGTCACGCTTCTGTAATATCGCGGGGGATTCTGCATTTAAAATATTGAAAGGGAATGTGAGAAACAGTAGTTTCGTGATCCTTCTAACGAACAAGGCTGCCGTCCGTAGCCTCGTGTGGAGTAGTTTCTTAATATTACGTTCGTGCTAGCACTGTGTCCAGAGTAATTATCTACGCTATACCATGGTTTACAGATTCTACTGGCAGTTATTCGATTCCTTTTTGCATTGACTTCATCATTAGTAGAAAACGAAGTCATCGCACAAAAGATAATTACGATACTGAGCAGACAAATCCGCCTTTGCTTACTTCACTTAAAATATGCCAACAAACATTCATAACATGGGAGTTGCATATAGCAAGGCGCGAAAATATGCAGGAAAGCTGGTTATGAAATATCATGATCTAAACCCCGAGACAGGGAGAAGTAAAATAACGAACAGGATTACATGGAATCTCCAATATGTGTCCTCTTATCCGTTACTTTATTTTTTTCTTGTCTCAGAGTTTAGATTATCAGTCCCCCATCGCTGACTTAAAAAAAAAAAACATCATAAGAAACTTCGCAAAATATTACACGTGCGTTTATGCCAGGAAGCGCGCTGTTGTTGTGTTTCAGTTGAACTAAATATTACTGTCTTTAAATTTCCAAGTTGAGTAGAACAATAAAAATACTCAATATGTGCAGAACTCATAAAAACCACATTTTGCTCGGGGGTTCTAAGAACCACGTTCTGAAAGCCAGAGTTTTTTTCTTTTTTTTTTTTTTTTACTTCAGAAAGTCAAAAATTAGCAAATATTACATATTGTTATAAAGAGGACACGGCTAAAATACCCATCGTTCATAAATGTTCGTTCATGATTTCCTCCTCCTTTCCGTGTCCCACAGCCGCCCCGTGCACCACTCCTTATCCACATTAGACAGTTTTAGTATAGCGTTGCTGACTCTTATGTACGCAATTTGCGGTAGCATAGCGAACGCTAAAAACAACCTGCTCGGTCCGATTTTAGTTGTGCGTTACGTTGCAGGATGAACATATCGCATGATCTTTTTGATTCAATTTGCCAAAGATGAAAGAGTGTGTCGGTGAAAATAAGAAGAGTCAAAGAAAGAATAAAAACACTTAGGGACAAGGACAGACAGCACAGTTCTTTCAACTAGCAACACAGATTTACTGGTGTCTCCTTCAATAGTGCTATCTCCCTCCTAAAAAGAACACTAAGAATAGTGTTCTTTTTTCTTTCTTCCAAAATTTCTTTATCTTCTAGTGTAATGGAGGTGATTTTGTGTTTTTTTTCGGGCGTATATAAATATATTATTTTCCGTATCTTCCTCTTTAGTCTCAAACGTTAGGAAGGAGATAGTACTATTGAAGGAGACACCAGTAAATGTGTGTTGCTAGTTGAAAGAACTGTGCTGTCTCTCCTTGTCCCTAAGTGTTTTTATTCTTTCTTTGACTCTTGTCAATTTTTCACAATTTCTTTGCGCACGCAAAGCTTTAGCGTACGGTCTAGTAAAACTGACTTATTCACTCTCATAACATTGCTTCCTCGCGACACATGAACCTAACCCCGAGGTTCTGCATAAATATTCAGTCAGAATAAACTGGAGCCAGACGATCAAAATCAGGATAAAAAAGCTGTTTTTTTTTTCGCTAATAAAATTAGTCTGATCTTTATTTAGTTCAATTAAATGCACTTGATTTAAATCATGTTAATTTGGTTTAAAACACTGTAGCTATAAAAAGGGATTCTTTATCATTAGATGTAGATTACACAAAACAGAAATATATTGATCTATCTGTTTGAATATAAAAAAAATGCGGAAGAAACAATGACTAAATTTAAAGTACACTTTAATTAGCAACTTTATTAAATTTAATCCCGCCATGCTAAAAAAATAGTTTTTTTGTTTTAGTTGTGAAAAATATTAATTTTCTTTTTCTTCGAGGGCTGATTTCCATGCAATAAGGCACAGTTTCCCTTGTATTTGTTTCTCCCGCTTTCTGGATTTTTTGCAATACGACTTTACGCAACTGAACAGCAAAGTGAAAGATAGAAAGTTCCATCAACGCTCCGATTCGCCCCAAAGAACATTACGTTTTACTCATTTTTAGCCAGCTATGTAGTGCTTGATTAATACATTTTTTCATATACTCGGTCACTGATGAATATTTTATATAGATACCAAACATATACACATGAAAGCCTTAATGATAGACGAACTGTAAACTATTTCAGGGATTATATTTGTGAGAAAAGATTTGGTTGTGAAAACAATTTGAAAATATGTGTGATTTAAATCCGATCTATATTAGGATTTAAATCATCTTCATTTTTATTCTCCACCCTGAAAAAAACGCAAGACTTGAAGTTTAGGCTTTGTAGATGCCGCATAAATGAGGCAGCCGAGTCGTTTGGCCACCTTGTAGGAGCCGTCTTAATTGGGTTGAAGTTTCAGACTGCGACCTTTGAAGCGACGTGGCTGGTGCAGCCACACTTTATCTCGCAGCATCAATGGGAAACCTGGGGCGCATGAATTATGTCAAGTTCTTTTACTGCCACTGCTCGGATGAAGATTGTTTTGTGGGAAAGCACGCGAACAGTCAAGTTTTGAGCGTAGAAGGCGGGAGTAGTCTGAGCAGATAGCTAGGGTTTGACGCATGCGACTGTACCATTCGCGTTTTAGAATTGATGACCGCCGGCAACCTCAACTCTCTGCCCATTAACAACACAGATGTCGTAACTTTGTCGCAGAATGAACCGCCGATTGGTAAGCAAGTAGGAAGAACTGAATTAGAGTGTCTCAATTGTCTTGGTGCTTGTCGATGAACAACAAAGATGCTTTTTGAGTGAACGGTCGAGCCTCTCAACCATACCATTTGGCTGGAGGTGTAAGGGCGTTCTTCTCTTCGTTATTCCGACAGTCGGGCACGTGCTTTTGAACAAATGTGACTCACAGGTTCTACCCCTGCTGGAATGAATTTCGAGTGGCACGTAGTATTTTGGAACAATGTTCCCCACGAAGATCATGCTGATAGTATCTGCCTCGAACATCCGTACTTGAAAGGCATATCTGGCCATTTAGTTGAATAGTCAGCTATGACCATAACATACCGATTCTATTCTGTCGTCTTTGGTAGTGGCTGGCCTACAACATCAACTGCTACTCCTTTAAACAGCGAACTTACCTGGCACGCTACCATTTTTTTCTCGGCTTCGTGTAGTGGTCATTTGCGATACGCATAGAGGTCAGACTTTTTGCACTGCTCGCGCACGTCTTGACAAGGAACGATACAAAACTTTTTTTTTCTAGAACTCCCTATTGAGTCTTGCAAAATCCAAGATCTTCACCGCTCAGGGGTTTCGTGAAGACCATGTAACAGAATGTCTACACGAACTTCGGGTAAAATGAGCTGACGCGTGCTACTTCTTCAGTCTTTGCTTTCGCAGACACAATGCAACCGTGCACCTTGGAGAATGAGAGAATACCACTGAGCCCGGTAGGGTTTCACTACGCTGCTGTATGGTGTTATCATGTTCGATTCCGGTGGTTCCCCAGCCTCTTTACACTACAAAGAGTTGTAAATGGCTGTTGTTTCCTTGAAGACCACGGAGAACACCAACACTCAAGTTGATCAAGTCGGGCTCATCGGGGTGGTGTTCCGCTGACACAGGACGCACGGTCACTTCTGATGGTTAGAACGGCGTACAGTCAAGTATAAAAAACAGTTCGTTCTTCAAACATAGGCGACAGTTAGCAGGCAGAGAAAGACGTCGCGAGGGGGCGTCGGCATTTGAGTGTCCTTTGCCAGCTCCGTGTTCAATCTTGAACCCGTATTGCTGCAGTCGTTTAAACCGTCTGGCGACCTGCATTCCTGGGCAAGGCCGCATAAAGGTACTGGCTAAGGGGGCTGCAGCCCAGGGTCCAAGTCTGCCAGGAGGCCCCATGCTGGCCCCCGGAAATTTGAAAAAAATGTTAGTTGGTCTTAGTTCAAAACAGCTCAGACCTATAGGAGGAGCAAAGATCACAGGAGCTTTGGGCCCTCGCTTTCTGGTGTTGTACCCCTTTCTTTTTTTAACGGTTAAACAGGACTGCCACAAAGTTTTCTTCTCTAGACGATATTGTGCTTGCAAGTTAATTGTAAAAGACTGCTAGAGCAATAAAATGTAAGCGTTGCCTCCCACCCTCCCTGCGAGTGGGAGCAAAGCTGTCGACGCTGGCGGTCCCGTTTAAGTCTCTTCTAATTGAAGCCATACGGAAAGAGGGCCACGGAGTTTTTATTTTACTGGGGCCCCCTCGGCGCGTTTTATGGACGATGGTGGGTTGGAAGGCAAGCAAGTTTTGCCGAAGGCTACACAAGCAACACACATGCTACACATTATTTTTGTTCATTTGTTTTTAGCACAGTTCCCCGTAGATAGTGTCCTCCGAAATGACAAGTCTGCAAAAAAAGAAATATTGGGGAATCTCCGGAATCCATCTTTTGTAACCACTAACAGGCGTTTCAAAAAAGCCAGCTCTTGAAATGTCCCCAAAAACGTTTTCAAGGAGTGGTGACTGGAAGCAACTTCTCTGGAGCCTGTGTCTGACCTGGCCATGCGATGCAACACTTTTACTGTCATTTAGGAATATTAGCGCTGTCATTGTTTTACGAGCCTTTGAGGTTTGACCTATTATTCTTAGCTTGGAGTGACACGTCAAAATAGCTAAAAATTTCCTAAGTACTCAAGCTTAAAAAAAAAGACATCTGGCAAAAATAATTGAAACATTTTCCCCTGAAAATAGACAGCATGTAGGACAGGCGCTTTTATATATTATATAACATTGGTAGTCATGAGAAATACCTGTGAAAGTGTCGAAATGACAAGGGTGGCAATATTTCAATCGCATTCAGTCTCAATTATTTGTTTTATCATTTGAATGCGGAAGTCTGTTAGTTTAAAACATGAGAGTTCAGTAATAAAAAAGAGTAGACGAAGCGGTATGAGCCAAAAGTAATTTAACCATCAAGTTTACTTTGTTGTCTGTTTTCTTTACTGTTCAA